CATATCGGCTCCTTTTTTTTTTATGCCGGTTGCTCCAGAATTCTACAGAAAAACCCCTCAAAACTCACCGTTTTAACCTATTTATTCCTTAAAAGCAAAAACCCTAAACCTGTTTCTACTCCTCACCTTCCTACCCTCCTACTTTCCTCTCTTTTTTTTTTTTTCCTAACAGTCGATCCCAAAATGCCAAGAGTTGCTTTCCTCTTTTCTCCAGACCGTGGCTGCTTTTTTGCAGGTCAAAACAAGGACGGCGCAGGCTGATCGGCGCAGACTGATCGGCGCAGACTGCATTTCGACGGAGTCCCTGCCTCTTCTAATTTTTTTTCCACTTTTGAAAACACGACGCCGTTTAAGTTTGCAAAGAGTTTCAATCCACAGGTTTCACCCGTTCGCCATTTTAGTCCTCATACTATTTATTTGTTTCATTTGGGTCCCTACAAGATAGAACCTCCATTTTAAAATTTTCAAATGAGTACACAACGACGATGGCTTCAAATTAATCTCGATTAATCTTGATTTTTCTTTGAAACATTTTTTGCGTTAATTTCCACGTCACATTTAAGCTCAAATATTTCAATGAATTTCATTTAAAACTCAAGAATTTGTGAGGAATTAATAATTTTAAAAAAAATCAAGATTTTTCACTTTTTTTTTCTCTCTCTCTTCTTTGAGAAATATCAAAATGGACTTGGCGAATTGGTTTATAACAGTTTTATCAACCGTTTAATTAAAACATTTTACATGGTGTTAGTACTAAAAATAAAATTTAATTTTGTAATTTTTTATATAAATTAAAAGAAAAAAAGTATAATAAATGTACTTTTAATTTGTGCTATTAAAAAACCTTTAAAAACATATTTTTGTAAACTTGTATTCTTAAAATATAGATTAAAAATATAATCATTATATTTTTTAGTATTAAATTATATAAAAACTACAAAAGTAGATTTTAATTTTACTGCCAATACTATATAGATTATTTTAATTAGATTTTGCGTTTACTTAAATAAAAATTAATTTTTATTTTTTAATATTAATTAATTTAAAAAAATACATATTAATTATCTTTAAAAATTCTTAAGAAAACAGGTATTAACAGTTTCTAATTACTAAACCAATTAATATATATTTAGAGTGAAAGGG